GATGCTCAAAGGAAAGGTGACCTTGATGAAGAGAAGGACAAATTGAAGAAGACGACTCCCTGAGCCAATGAACACAATGCTGACCAAGCAACCACGAGATGAGGCCATAAAGAAAAGAAAGGATAGGAGAGCTATGGTTGTGGAAGATGTCCCTCCTACATCAACAGGTTTGAAAAATAAATATACAGTATATTGCACACATCTTGTTATATATAAACAAACTTTTATTATTATAACACATATGTAAATCATTTAATGTTTTCTTCACTTATTTAGTATCTCAAGTTGAGGCAACCACAGAAGCACCAGGTGAACGGGCAAAACCTCATTGCACTTTGTGCCACCATCCTATGAAGGGCCACAAAAATGTAGTTGATTGCCCACGGAATCAACAAAACCCAAACTAATGTACAAATATATTTTTAAAAATACAATTGAAATATTGTTGTATGGTGACAGTTCATTATATAATATACTGTATGCTACAGGGTGGGGTGCAATATCAAGATAGCATGACTAGTTGCCATGGAACATTTATTGGTACTATAAAGGTATAAAGTAAGATATAGGCTATATAGCCATTTAGGGATTACCTATACCTTGTCTGACCCAATATATCTACCAGAATAGAATGTTGATTTGAAGATAGAGAGCAGAGCCAAGCAAATCATTTTAAAGTTAAAAAAAATTATTAGCCAACATTTCGTTGTTTACAATGCAACATCTTCAGAGCAATCTAAATGAATTTACAGGGTATGGTATATATATTTACAAATAATGGGTATTCACAAATATTTTTGTAATATTAAACCATTATTTGTAAATAGTACATACATAACATACCCTGCACATTCAGTTAGATTGTTCTGAAGTTGTATTATAAATAATGAAACATTAGCTAATAATTGTGTTTGGTTTTAAAGTTATTTGCAGAGTGGCCTATGCTCTTTTCCAATTGCCACAGTTTTGAGAATAGAATGTGCTTTTAAAATACTTTATTAATAATGAACAGTCCTTAATTAATTTTATGAAACAATTTCTTATTGATCTGACACATCTTCATCAAATCCGGTTAATTCCTTGTCTCCCGGTGGGAATTGTGTTCGAATTGCATGGTATGCACAAGCAGGCAGGGGTATTCGCAGCCGACCCAACACACCATACACAAGCTGTGAAAATTCACGGTATGCTATTGAGCGAAAGAATCTAAAATGAAAGAAAAAATATTTGAATTCATGATTATATATTATAATGTAGCATTTGTAAATTCTGAACGCTGATTGCCTAAGCTGTGTTAACCCATTGAGCGCCTGCGCTCTCTCCTTGACGAGTAAAATTGTCTGGCATTAGACAGAGTAAAATACTAAAGGGTGCATCAGGGTCATCACCACTCAATGGGGGTAACTAGACACATGGGCGGATAGGCCAGTTAACCCATTAAGCGCCAGCGCTCTCCCCTTGACAAGTGAAATTGTCTGGCATTAGACAGAGTAAAATACTAAAGTAGGGTGCATTGCCACTCATTAATATAACTCCATATCAACACAGAAACGTCTGAAGATTTCTTTCTTTACATTTTTTTGTGGTATATTATAAAACATTTTTTCTGTATTGATATATAGTTATATCAACAAAAGTGGAACTCGTCTACAGGGGGTGAATTTTATAAAATGGATGGCCCATTGTAAAAAGCACATTTATAGTGGAAAAAACTCACGTTTCTTCTGATCCTTGTTGGCGATATCTTTTTCCAATTTTTGTTTTGTATTTTGGTACAGCCATTTTTAAGGACCATTTCTCCAGGCAATTGATTCTAAACCCTGGATGATTAAGCACACAAGTAGGGGGTATTTCGACGTCTTGTAAGGCATCATCGGAACTCAATGCCTTGGTGCATCGATCAATTTCTTGACAACATTGAGTTTCGTACTCGTTCTGCAACAGACTTGTGTCGCAGTTGTTACACTTGCACCTAAGTATTTTAAATAAAAAACATACAATTTGCTCAAATCTGTATAGTCTATAAATGTGCAAACACGACCCAATGTAACATGCCATAAAATATATTTTGTATTTACCATTGACTTGTCGGAATTGTTCCGTCTAAACGTTGTTGGAGTTCCTCAAAGTGAATTCTGGCAGTCTCTTTTTCTGATTCGTATCGCTCAACCCAATCGTCATCTGCTATAGGCTCTTCCTCGTAAGGAACAACCACTGCTCCAGCACTATTTTGATGATCATTGCAGTCAAACTGAGCCTGAGTTGATGATTCTTCTTGCGGCTCTTTCTCTGAAGGCGAGTCATATTCTTCCACTTCTAGCTCGTATTCCTCGCTTGTATCCAAATCGGACTCACACGATGTCGAACTATCGTCAGAGTAAGATTCGGAAGCAGACATTTTAAGAAACAACAAAGGTTATAACTTTTTGTAGGCCCTGCTCTCGCAATGTTGTAGAAAAACACATGTCATGAAATATTTTGGTTACTTCTTTGACGTCACAGCGGCGATTCGTACTCAGACTCTTTGCTCCCGGCCACGTTTTAAAAAACTCTATTTTTTTACATGTTTGAGCTAAAATATCTCTGGAAGTATTTAACCGCTGCAGGTAAGACATATATCATTCGAATTGTCTTGCCACGGCCGATTTTTGAGGAAAAAATGGTAATTGTGACATATGCACTTTAAAGGGGGTGGGCGATTATTTTTTATTCAAATATGCTACAGAAGTGTTCAAGGAGTTCATCTAGAATTTTTCTGTAGATACCGAGAGATTAATATAATATGAAACACATTCTAGGTAGTGGCTTAACTATATACAGTGGTTTGGACATGTATTAAAATCTAGCCTTGACCCCTTTCTTTAAGAAAAAAAAAATCATTTTATTATTTTAATACATTGTTGTCATGGCCAATTTCAACCTGCAGATTACTTGCTGACATTAATTCACTTTCAGCCTCTATATCACTATATGTGCCTTTTCTTTTATATGATATAAATATGAATGATCTATTATATAACAAAAAATACAAACTATTAACTATATAAAAACATAACTATATATAAATCTCACCATCTTTGCTGAATACGGTTCCAATCTTGGCCCACGCATTCTGTTTAATTGGTCTGTTTTTGTATGCCTCAGAGTTTATATCCCATAGACACCTGTATTTTCTCACTTCTTCAAGAAATAGTTCTTTTTCGAATTCAACAGCAGCAGAGTCCAGTCGCTCCACGGGAGCTTCAGCATCATTTTCTTGAATGGTTTCATCGTCTTCAACTACGTCAGTCACACCAGGACTGTCTGGACTTGTTTCAACACCCTCCGGGCTCTCCACATTTAAGTTAAAGTCGGTTTCGGCACTCCAAAAAGTTTGTTGTTCTTCTTGGTCCGCCATTTTGATTGGCTTGCTCCTTTTTTCGCGGCAAAAAAGTAGGATTCGGTCGAACTCGTTTTTTCGCTTCAACAAAGCTTTTGTTCGCTTACTCTTCGCTTTGGCGAATTGCTCAAATGACATAATTGCTAAATGCGCATGCGCAATCGGCGAAAAAAGTCGCTTCGCGCGAAAAAAATCGCTAGTGGAAAACCGGCTTTAGTTTGCAGGCCTGATTAGTTTGTATTTGTTTTTCCTTTTTTCAAATTTAAAATGGTACATATGTTTTGAATTTCATCTCATAAACGAAATAAAGTCATTTTATATTTTTATTAAATATGTAAGAATTGTTTGCAATTTCGAAATTTAACTCCCCCCCTTTTCCTTTCGGGAAACAAAAAACTACCTACCCCCCACCAAATAGCCATATTTAAAAAAGTATCCCCCCCCAAAAAAAAGAAAAAACAACCGCCCGCCTGATCGGTCCCAACACAATTGTAATTAAATATGGCACATTTTATACAGTATTAAAATAGCATTTGCATTTTGTAAATGTTTTATGGATTTAGAGGCAAGATATTGAACAGTTCAGGTGCCGTAAACTTTATTTTAACAGCTATTTAGATAAAATACTATTGCTGTCAAATTGCATTGGTCCTAAAGCCCGTGCATCAAGCGCGTATTACTATTAAAAGTTCTACAATAAGTATGTTTGGGGTTTAAGTGTTCGAATGAGGCCAAGGCTGCAGCTGTTTGAAAAGAGTTTAAAACAATTTATATGTTTTATCCAAATTGCACTTGAAGCCATACAATATATTTATACCTATACAAATTGCATGGGAATGAAAGTCATAGATTTGCTTCCCGGTAATTTTGAAAAATTATGCGGTTTGTTTTAATTATCCATTATTTTTTGACCATTGTTTTGGGTGGTCCTCGCTACATGCACTAAATCACAACCGTTCATTTTATACACTTAAGGCATAAATGTACATCACAATTTTCAAATCAACCCCAAGATATCCCCAGGGTAGTAGAGTAAGTGTTGCATTTTTAAACATATTATTTACCATATTATAGTTTTTTTATTATGCTACCAAACATCAAAATTAATGCTCACTGTTTCCCGCATAATAAATACATAACCAAATGAATCCCTTCTAGTTCTGCGCTCATTGTTTTTCCTCTGCAACTTCAATGTTACCGACTTATAATACTGCAGGAAACTAAATACAAGCAATGCAGTGCAGTATACATGCAATACGGAGAACTATCAACACATTACTGTTTCATCGTAGCCAGACGTAGCAATGTTTACTTTTCTCACCTCGATAATTTCTTTTTTCATTATAGGAAGATGTAGAAGTTCTTACCACCACTTTTTACACCGCCTCATGGAAGATGTTGAAGAGAAACTTAAAGTTCGTGGAGAATCAACTAAGCAAATTGTCTTGCCTCATTGCACATGGGACAAGTTCGGCGACATTATGGCCAATACCGGAGGAAGATGCATGGGTTTGTTTGACAAAATCGTTTCGTTTTTGCAACCATGAACATGTACTCTTCAAACAAGATGCAAGTGTCTGACACTAAGGAGTACCAAGATTTTTTGCAAATGTACACTGGAAAAACAAAATGTCGAGAAACAGGTAATATTGTAAAACTTTTGCAATATTTTACAATGTGAGCTTCATTAATTCATTAATGCAATTTTGTAATATAATAAATTTCCATGTCGTTATTACATTTAGCCAGCAGACCTTTGGCCGCATTTCTGGGGGCCAGTCAACATTGTATGCTTTTTTTGTATTTTTGAGTGAGTCGTCTTAGCAACACAAAATTCCCATTGGCTGGATAGCCGCTTTATTTCACAGGTTAATATAATAATGGTAGTATGGCTACCCTCGAAGGGAGTGCGCTTGTTCAGCATTGTATTTTGAAACCTTTAGATTTTTTAAGACAAAGGGGTTACAACATTTTTTTAAACTGTGAACAACGCCAAGCAATTATCCAATTTTTTGGAAATCGCAATGTAATTGCAATTTTGCCCACAGGTTTTGGAAAATCTATCATTTTAATTAATACATTGTGTATGTGTTGCACAAGATGAGTGGTTAATATGTGAAAATGAATGTGGTTGTTCTGTTCTTATTGTATCTCCTTTGCGAAGCATAAATCCATAATAGAAGATCAAACAGCCTTTTTACTATCGTTTATAATTACATTGCAAAGGAATTGGCTAATAAATCAACTGCAGACATCATAAAATCGCGACCACAAGTTCTCACGCTATTTTTAATTTCTCGCTATTTATAACCCACACTGTGATTGGTTCTCTTAAATAAACAACTTTGTCGGCGTAATACCAAAGACCATAGAATGTTGGCTGGCTGTCATAGGTGTCGAAAGATTGATAAGTGGGGGGGACCATATTCATATTAATTTCTTTTGAAATCGATTGTTTTTAAGGTCTGTGAACACAAATATATAATGAATATGGTCCCCCCCCCCCACTTATCGATCTTTCGATGCCTATGCTGGCCGTATTTCACTCTGGTCCGCCCTCAAGCTCCCTCAGAAATATAGCCAAAGCTCTCCTGCCTATATTACATTATTCATACTTAATTCTTAAAATACTACTTTATTAAGCTTCATCACTGGGGTTAATCTGCATACAGTGCTTCTACAATAGATCTAGCTATAGGCTATTTAACAGTTATTCCATGAACGAGTCAAATATCATATCATATTCAACGAGAGTGAGAGGAATAACTGTTTTATTATATCACAAGGTCTGAATTCACAGACTTTGCTTTTCGGATATTTTCAATATTTTTCTATTTTGTTTGTGTTTTTATCTTCCGTCTTTCAGACGATTATTTTTTCAAAAATATATATTTTTAACCATTTTAAATTTTAAAAATTCATTTGCTAACCTGTAAACAATTTGTGGGAGTTTTTTCGTTGTGTTTTTAATCCTGTGAAGGCTATAAAAAGCGAACAACTTGCCGTTTTCTCATTCGCAAACTTCGGAAATTCAGTTTCAGCCGCTATTTTGTTTTTCGCTACTAGTCTACCAGGATATGAGCTAATATCCTGCTAGTAGAGAACCAATCACATTACAGAATACCTCATATCCAGACCATGTGTATACAATAATTGTATTTATTACCCAGATGATTCCGCGTTCATAATGCACCTAGCATACTCTTGTTCATTCTACCATATAGGAAACCTGTGACAATTGACCAGGAATCCTGGTTAAATTTAACCAGGATTGCACTAGGAATATTAGGTTACCCCAAACAACAAGATTAACCAGAAAATGTTTTAACCAGGGTGTTTTATACCATATATTTATGTGTATATCTTTCATGCATCGCGCCACTGTGGTCAGGGTTAAAGCAGAAATAATTGTTCTTTAATATTCCTACACTATAAAAAAATCCAGGTTAAAAAAAATCCTGGTTAACTTTTAATTAACATTATTTGGCCTGTTTGATGGTAACATCATGTTGTTCGTTAATTCATTGTGACTCTCATCCTTGAATTGATTATAGTCCTGACTAATTCAACCACGATTCTTAATTAACTTAATCACCCTATTTTATTTTAACCACACTTCATTTTAGCATTGATGGTAACCACGCATTCTGCATGGGTTAATAATCCACTTAGCAAAGCATGGTTAATTGAACTATATAGAATGTTTACAATAACCAGCAAACTTGGTTTTGTAAAAAATTAAGCAGGGCTGTGGTTAAATTAACCATGTAATTGCACCTTGAACAGTAAATTCCCCTAAATAGTCTTGATTTTAGGTTAACCAGGAAATGAATTGAGCACGTTCACACCGGCGATTTGAGGTGCAATTTTCTTCTTTTCATGGATGTGAACGAGTATACAGTACATGACTTATAAATGTTCTTACCATACTGTATGTGCTCCTTGAACATCCTTAACTTACAGACTCAATCCCAACACGAAAATCGCACCTTAAATTGCCACCACAATCGCCCATGTAAATGAGCTTCAAATACAAATAAAAATGTAATTTTTTTATAATATCGTTGTTTAGTTACTGGAAATGCTAACTTCCGAATGCAACAAACATCTTTCACTTTGCGCGGATTTACCCAACCTCGTACCGCAATGCCCATAATCGAAGATTTGCAAAATAATGCAAAAGGGTTTACATCTCGCTTTCTTTGGTACTTTCCCAAACCAGTATTTTGTAAATTGAAAGCAACAGTTCTTCATGATGACGAAAACGATGAGGTTGAAAAATTTGAGGAACAACTTGGTAAGTCATATCACAGAAAACTAAAGAAAATTAATACCAAATACACACTCATATAACGTCATCATTACTCTTTTTCCTGCTGTTTTAGTGGATTTTCTGGCAACGTTATATTTCGAAGGCGAAGCGTCATACACCATAGAGCAAGATGATAAGATTACAAACGTTATTGTCAATCGGAAAAAAATTCATACTTTCAGAGGAAGCAGCAACAGAATTTGAAAACATTCACGATGACCGGGAGGCAACATGTGAAAAATATCCATACGATCCTTCGATAGGAGGTTGGGTAACATGTATTTTTACATCTATACAGCTAATTCAAAAAAGGTTGTCCTTTGCAAACCTTAAACTCTAAACCTTAAACTCTAAGCGCGCAAAGCATAATGGGAGCACAAATTTCAAGCTTAGTAGTTATATATTGCAGCTGTTTGTCAGTGAAATGTTTTCGCAGGGAGTTGTTTACCATGTCTCTAAGAAATGGGCTCCTGCATATATGCTTTCTGAACTGCTTAAATCGTGCCCCCATTACGCTTTGCACGCTTAGAGTTTAAGGTTTAAGGTTTTAGAGTTTAAGGTTTGCAAAGGACAACCTTTATTGAATTAGCTGTATACGTACACAGATTAATTCTTACCAGTTGCATCACGTTCGTTCATTTCCATAATACTGTGCTGAGTGGTTATATTACTACCTTAACTCTTTATCGACAAGCGACATTTTGACGATTTTACAACTCAATTGTTTATAACGTAAATATCTCAGCGCGTATTCACCCCCCTTTAAAACAAAGAATACCATTGAAATCCTAATAAAATAACCTTTTCAACGGGGGGTCGAATGCCGTCAAAGCATTACACAAACCGAAACAATCACATATTTACTCACCGCTTGGCCAAAAATTTCGGAATTTTGTTTCCACAATAGCGTAAATAACTTGTGAATTCTTCAGAGTTCGGCTCAAATCAATAAGAGTGAAATATTCCTTGTATTCAAGCGCTTTTATATCCAAAATTTCATTTGAATACAGCCAGTAGAAATGTTTATTTTGAGTTTTTAAAAATATCGCGTTTTTCTTGTTTTTTTCTCGCACGCGCGTGCCACACGCTAAAATTGGAGAATAAGAAGTACCCGTAGCCCGATGCACGTGCAAATCATGCTGCAGATGTAATTTGACCTTTAGAATCGATTTCCGACGTTTCCCGAGCGCTAGGATGTAAACACGCGATGTTTTGGCGAATTTAAATCGCATTTCCGGTCAAAAAATATCCCGCTGAGTTTGCTAATATCGCAACAGATTGAAATATCGAAATAAAAGGCGAAGAACTGAGGCTACAAGGTTCAAAATAACACTGTAAATAGTGTTTTTGATTGTGAATCGAACAAGACTACAACAAAAAATACATGTTTGAAGGGGCCAAAGTTGTGTCTGGCAAAAGGTATGGCTTTAGTGACAAATTGTTAACATTTTTCGAACAAATATGTAATTTGTTGAAATATGATACGTCTTGACCCTTCAAAGGTCATAAATCGCTATAATGTTTGTCTTTGACTAAAACTATCATTATGAATCAGGAAATATTATTTCGCTGAATTGAATGGTGGTATTTTCATCTACGTAGCATGTACTGAACCAAAGATATGAACCTCCAAAATACTATTGCAGGTCTGCAAAATCGCATTTCCGGTCAAAAAATATCCCGCTGACTTCACTAACATCGCAACAGAATGAAATATCGAAATAAAAGACGAAAATCCGAGGCTACAAGCCTCAAAATAACACTGTAAATAGTGTTTTTGATTGTGAATCGAACAAGACTACAATGAAAAACACACGTTCGAAGGGGCCAAAGTTGTGTCCAGCAAAAGGCATGGTTTTAGTGCTACATTGTTTACATTTTTAGAACAAACATGTAATTTGTTGAAATATGATACCTCTCGACCCTTCAAAGGTCATAAATCGCTATAATATTTGTGTTTGACTATAAAACTATCACTAGAAATCAGGAGATATTATTTCGCTGAATCGAATGGTGGTTATTTTCATCTACGTAGCATGTACTGAACCGAAGATATGAACCTCCAAAATACTATTGCAGATCTGCAATAGTTTTCACAGGGTCGGTCGAAAAGGAGTTAAAAAATAAGCACAAACTCGACGTTTCGAGCGATTCGTCAAGAGTTACTATTAACTTCTTGATGAAGGGCCTTCACTGGAAACGTCGAGTTTCTGCTTATTTTTTAAGGTAGTAATATAACCACTCAGCACAGCATTTTCACATTGGTACTACCAACACTGGTACAGACAGATTTAGCATACATTTAAATGATTTAATGGTAACAGTAAGGCCAAATAAAATCTTGACGGTGACACTTTCACAATTCAACAACTGCAACTATACTTAGGCCAATATATTTTAGGTCTATATTCGAGAGGAAAATCTCAAGTGCTTCGTCTGGCAATCCCAATGCAATTATTATTGGATTTCTTTGCGATGTTTGAGAACCACGACGTATTACACAATGACGAACAAATGGAATATGGCCTGCCAGGACAAGATCAATCTACTTCATCGACTTCAGTTACAAAAGAACCCAAATGCCATGATATCCAAAATGCGTCAGGAAACATCGACCAACCGGAGAACCCGACCTCTATTGTTTCTGATTATAATAAACAACCTGCAGAGACTAGTTCTCAAGAAAACGTAACGAATGCCGAAAATGATGAGCAAGATTGCATCCCTACACCACCATCATCCTCTATTCCGTCTGATGATGATCCTATCCCTACACCATCATTAATTGGTCCACAAGCAGTCAAGGTTGCTGCATCAATTGTAAAGTGCTCTTTCGACCAACTTTGTGAGTTCATTTAGTATACTGCACAAATAATAATACTTACACTTAATTAATATACAACTTTTATGCTGTAACCTAGCTCGCAGAGTCGTGAAAGGAAGAGGAGTAATAATAATGAATTATAATTATCTTTATTTAACAGGTTGACCCTATCAGCTGAGACACTTGTTATAATAAGGGACCAGGCACAATACAATACATATTTTTCCTAAAACCAGCAAATTAATCAATCGATGGAACGGAGGGAAAACTGAAATTGCACATTTAACATCAATGTTATGTACTCTGGCATGCAGATTTACATAAAATTAACAAAGTTACATACTACGTATACAGAACACTGCGGTGACTCCTCCCCTCTCCCTCCCCACCCTCCTCAAACATCACATAATAAAATATCAAGGAATTTTATGTATGTAGTATTCTTGACTTGTAATCAATCCCTTGAGAATTAGACGACAGTTGCACAGCGGCCATGTTGGTGCCAAATTCAAAGGGACCAACATGGCCGTCGCCCACATATACATGTTCAAATGTACATGCTTCAGAATGCACTATATACAGTGTGTATAAAAGAAGGTAATCGAACTTCAGCGCTCTATTATACGTGAATTACTCGGCGTATGAACAAAAAATTTTAATATTCTGAAATGTCACGCTTTTTTTACTTATTTCATTATATGTTTTTCATGCGAAGTGAAATTCATCAACTTCAGTCCTAAACAGGTTAATTTTCAATGGTTTAGACTCAGCTTTCAACGGTGAAAATATGCGATTCTTATACTAACATTTTTTATCGGATTCGTGTTTGCTCATTTGTTACCCATTTCCCATGAACAACATATCATTCGACAGATAAAGGCCTGATCTTTCCGAATATGAAAAAATCTCGGTTATACGCAGACTAATTCAGATGCAATAGCGTGCTGAAGTTTGATCACCTTTTTTAGTACACCATGTATAACTAATATAGTTTTATAATATATTTTAGGTGCTCTGAATAATAAAATGTACGTGGCGAACGAAGGATGTTCATCTAACGAAATGGAAATAACCTTTCCCCCAGAGGCTCAGTCACAAAACAATTCGATACTGAAAAGTATCTTGCTATCACCAGGGAAAATTGTTAGCTTTTCCCACTTGAATGCCAAAGGTCTTTTCAGAAAAGCCAACAGTGGTAAACAAGGAAAGACCTTTATGCAGATGGCTGTTTCCGAGTTACCAGCAAGAGGATTTGGAAGGGTTGAAACCTATATCATTTCTGGAAATAAATCGAAGGTAAAATATACATACAAGGATAAAATCAGACACAATACCCCACTCGCGCAGTCAAGAATGTCTTCTATGGCTCTGCTTTCTTCTTAGTCCACTCCAAAGCTCTACCAAAATGACCACAAGGCAAGTCGCTTGGAATAGTTCATCATTCTGAACTGGGTCATATTTTTAGGATATCACTATATACATAGTTCCCAAATAGCAACACACTTCCTAGTTCCTAAATATGAACCACTTAACATACCTGACCCCGTATAACTCCATTACTACAGCTGGATTACCAAACCAAAGGGTTTCGTCACTATTACAACGATTTTCGTTATATTATATTTTATTCCATTATATTTTTCTGATTGTCTTCATATAGGTAAATTTCTTATTAAAAGATTCCGTGCCTGACAAAGACAGCGATGAAATGAACAACTTCGTCAAAAGGTTGGCTACAGTTGCAATTAATCTCAAGGAATACGTTGAAGCATATAATGATGATTCGGAACAAAGGTTAGAACACATTTTTTCATTCACTCGTATAATGCAGTATATCGACAATATATGCTCTGGAGAAATCGAATTGATTCACGTTGCATGAGAAATACAATCTCCTCAAGAATGAGAGAATGTTTGCTGTGAACGTTTGCTGTGAAGTGTGGACCTGTGCTGTGGAACACTACGTATATACCATAAATTCTGACAGGAGAGTAAAATTTAAATGACATATATAGTATATGAGACCAATGCATGTGAAGGAAATTTAAACCTTTAGTAGTCCAGTTTTAAAGAAATCAACCGCAGGTCCGCACTTCACAGGAAACGTTCTCTCATTCTTCAGGAGATTATATTTATCAGTGAAGCCTGTAAAGGTCGAGCAAGATGTATAAAAACACTAACAGTACAAGTCGAAGCGCTTTCCCTATCAATCCGAATATTTCGCACATATTTCCTCCAGAATTTTTAGTTCTTTTCAATCGATTTCAGTTTAAAAAGTATCAATTTTTCAACGACAAATTCTAAATACTTTATGTATATTTTGCAACAATTGCTGATGGTGCGTATAACTCACATTGGAAATCCAACGTACTATCTCTCGTTAGCCAATTACCGGCCTGAATAAATGGGCAATTCCTGCTTTAGACTAAATTTTGATCTCGGCAAGAAGGATAAAATCCATCACCACAGGTAGAAAGACCATTGAGTAGAAAGTTTGGCCGCAAAATGTTGTAAAATGCGTAACATAAACCCCTGCGCAATTTGCAAATGTTGTATTAATTTGTTTACGCACGGGATTTTGCACCACTTTCGACCCTTGCGAATGTGCTGCATTTCCCCGTGCGTATACAAATTAATACAAATTTCGCAGGGCTATATTTTCTGCATTTTACGTTTCGTGGCCAAACGTTCCAATCTTACTAATTTTAACATGCTCTTTCTACCTGTGGTGATGGATTTTGTTTTTCTTGCCTAGATCAATGCATTGCACTGTTGGGAAATGAATTTCCTATTCAATATCACGTGACCATAAACAGCCAATTAAACGGTCAGAATTCAGTAAGGTTAATAATACCTAATAATATCATGTAATAACACTTTCATTTCTATTTTTTAGCCAAAAACATGTTTTTGACTATCAAACCAGAAAAGGAAATGTCGTGGTTATCACCAATTCTAAAAGGCGAAGACTTGAAAGTGAAGGCGAAAAGTCTTAATTTTATAACCAAACCTCTGGCTGTGAATACCAAGGCTTTCGGGACTTCCTGAAGTAAACAGACAGGCTAATACATCACCATGCATGGATTTATTGAATTACACGTTGAAACAGCAACTTCGTTGATGTTAAAACAAACTTCCGGAAATAATTTATGCATGATTTCTATAATTAACAATTATTCCCCGAAGGCGAGGTGATTATCGGTGAATAAAAACCGAGACGAAGTCGAGGTTTTTATTCACGATAATTACCGAGCCTGAGGTGAATAATTGTTTTAGTATAATTTCATAGGTGATTATTTGGAAAAAAATAAGAAAATACACATTTCTTCATCATTTCATTGACAAAAAGGCTTCGGCCGCCATTTTGAAAATCGCTTAGGTGATTATCGTGTAATAATCACCTCAACGGCAACCAATCAGCGTGGAGAATTTTCAATAATCACCTATGTAATTATACTAAGACACTATAGTCCTTGTTTACAAGGTCTTCCAAGAAAACCAAAACTATTGTTAGAATTTGAATGCCTCAGCACTGTGCTGAAACCACAAGTGCATATACAAGCTTGACATAAGTAAATTTCAGGCATAAACAAACATTTAAAGACTTCCTTTAAATTCCCAAGAGCAGAAAAGCGTGCGCTTTGCGATATTTTAATTTCTTAATAAGTCAATTGAAAGTCAATGTTTAATATATGGACCCTGTCAATTTTTTACGCGTATTCCTTCGGCTTAGTGCTTCGGCATTCAAATTCTAACAATAGGTTATTTCAATAGTTTTGCCGTTTTTGGGGGTAATATTATTGTTAGTACAGAATAGATGCACCACTGACAATTTAATAACAACAAACCACGATGAAATATGCAATGTTTACTTGTCTTTTATTAACTCTTTAGTTTCTAAACTTTACACTAAAAATCCGAACGAAGTTTCTTCGAAACTTTACAGTATTGTGATGAGTACACAAAATTCAAAAGAATCAGTAATTCATTCATTCAGTCATAGTGTAACGTCGTAGTACTTGTTATTCATACATATCTTATATACAGCTATGTTGTCCAATGTGCGCGCTAAAACGAGGATGGGAATAATCATAGTTTTAAATAACTTTAGCATATCAGTAGCCTCGAGGGGATACTTTTACCGACAGCTGCCAATCCAAACAAACTTTTAGAAGATGAAAAATTTGGTTGTTAGTGAACTTCTAGGTTGTCGGCGACCCTATATAGCTCTTGTGGTGTCTTTGTCAATTTTAAACTTTACACTATCCTTTGATCCCTAGTTAATTAACTCATATAAAATATTTATTAAATTAACAAATTTTAACATGATTTTTACAAAATTAACTTTCTTTTTTTTTAACTGTTAAATGTCCAAAACTTTTGATTTTTTATTAAGATTGTTAGTATGTTGTCAGCTTGGTTGTGGCTGAGCAATTTCAATGTTCCCGCGTCAAAAGTTTGTTTCTCCCTCAATGAACGTGACCCTCAAACACATAATATCGCCGAGCGAAGGATATCTTTGAGCGGAGCCAGTTCGTTATACTGAAAGCAAGTTTGCGCTTTTCAGCGATTGAAGATGCCAGTACAGAAATAATAGTTAATTCTTTTAACGATTATTGAGTATATCCAACTTCTTACAAGTTACATCTACCTTTACGATATCTTTAGATATATATTTAGTTAGATCCCTCTACTTTACCATTTTAGATCTACCTTTCCTTTGTGAAAGCAGCTACACCCAAAGCCTTATTGACTTTTTCTTTCTACCTTTAAGATATTGGCATGAATATCTAGACATGTTATTTTTCTACAAGGCAAAATGCGGTATCATGTGTCTTTCGGATGCAGTTGTTCCCTTATCCCATACCTGTGTTAAAAGCGGCTTTCTGCTTGGTTCAGAGCAGGTGAGCTTGTCGTCGAGCTCACCTGCTTTTTATCACATGCCATTTCGGTAAAATTTTATACGCATTTTACTTTTTAGACTTAGTATAGAATTTCGCGTTTGGATAACGAACATTTTAGCCGCCAACATACTACGCAAACAAACTTAGGCTTAAATTAAAGCTAAAAAAAATTCTCTACAATATTCCCTTATTCTTGAAAAGAGAGAATGCACACATTCTGCGAAAACATTGCCAAGATTTATATAAACCTGCCTGTGCCGAACAAATTTCGGCGGCCATCTTTCTTTTCTTGCACTTTCAATACAGAATTAATATTCCATTTTCATCAAACAAAATAAAAAAATAATAATTATAAAACAATTAAAAACAGTTAGTTTAGTTTTTATTTACATTTTCGTCAGAAAATTGTTCAAATCGCTTCATAATGGCCGCCGCTGAAACATCGATCTCGAACCCACCTCCTAAACATACGTCAGCAGGTGGGTTCGAGATTGAACGCACCTCCTCCTAGCCAATAGGAAAGCGCTAATACGCTAGGTATGAGATAATATAACAAACGTACTTGCAGGGAGGTGAGTCCGGGATTGGACGCACCGAGGGTGGCTGGGAGTTTCCCGAACTTACCGAGCGAAGCGAGGTGAGTTCGGGAAACTCCCAGCCATCCGACGTGCGTCCAATCCCGGACTCACCGAACATTAAAAAATAAAATATTAAAATATAATAAAATATAAAAATATAATAATAAAATATTAAACATGAATATCCTTAAAAAAAAATCAGTGGATCCGAACTCCATAAACTTCCAAGTTAGGAAATGTAAAACCTCTATCTAACCAACAGACTTATGTCCAGGATCAATAACCGATAAATCTAACTCTCTAATAACCTTTAAAAATCTCTCAATTAAATATTACTATACCGCATGAGATAGGAATTTATAATGTGGATGATCCTCGGTCGTGAAAAACAATTTGCCTCAAATGTAACCAGGCCCGGACCTAACCAAACCTATTGCATGTTGTTTTTAAATTAGATCTGTATCTATATATATACATATGTGCTTGTACATTTACGTTTTGGGATTACAGTAATTGGCCTGAAACTGTGATTTCCTGTCACATTTGTAATGTTATACACTGTATGTAATTATTGTTATTTGTCATGTATTCCTGTTGTGACAAGCTTGTAAAATTAAAAAATTATAAGAAATGGCGAACTAATTATATTTTGCCGAAAACGCATTGCATTAGGAATTACAGTGCTCCATTAACAATCCCCGTCTAAAATTATACCGTTTAAACTATAGTTTAATATGTATATATTGTAAAAGTACACTTTTTATTATATTTAACATTCATAAAGTATTATATTTGCATATACTGCATACTATCATTAAGGCAATTAACATTGTACAAACATATATGTAATTTATAAAATATAAAAACAAGCACCGATACAACGTTCAAGAGTTTGGGACTTCCGCGGTCCTGTTTAAATTCAAAAGGAGTTTAAGCGAGAAACTATTAGGGAAACTATTACTTAAACACAGAGACTATTACTTAAGCATGTAGGGCGTCAACACGACGGCAACCAATACAATGAGTCAATGAAAACAACTAAATAATTAAAGTCCCAAGGGAGTTTCAGACGTACTCGTTGCTCTGTTTACACGAATTATAATATAAGACAAGTTTTCTAAACCATTTATTTGAAGGAATTTGTTTTGGCCGTCGTCCTCGTGTTGCCGTCCTACATGCTTAAGCTCCCTTTTGTTTTGCCTATTCTTGACAATGGTCTGATATGAGTGTTCAGTTGGCAGGGAATTTCAAGACTCAGACTCTACACCCTTGTATAGTGGAGCGAAATCAATACAAACACTCGCAAATTGTAAGGACGCGTTTACTTCACATTTACAGCTGTATCTGTATATTTACAGCTTTTTAAGCTACTTGTTGACATTGATAAAAATGCTTCATGTACATAAAACATCACAAATCTGAATGCAATAAAGCTAATTTCAATGTAATACAGTAAAATTCCGCGTGTGTAAGAACCTATAATATTTTCTTCATCAGACACAAAGTTTTTATATCTGTACAACATACTTTCTAATCACACGCATATACGAAGGCGTTCTAAATGGCAGATTTCACAATCTATCTTATTTATCTGCTAGGTTCTCATACGCGGGATTTCATTGTTGTTGTTTACATCATATGATGTATTAGTATGCAGTATGTCTATGTATTGCGGACAACATCATCATTATGGTTATCCAAAATGTACAGCATGAGAAAAAGGAATCTCCACCGATTCATGTGTTTTGTAATATGGCAAAATCGCGACAACCATGAGAAAAGCTGCTCACACACTTCACTGTTAACATTCTATAGAATATAGAAAACTGTATATATAATATAACTAAATAATATAAATATACCAGTAAAAACAAACAAGGTAGCCTGCGAACAGGCTCACTGGGAGAAAGGTGAGCCTGCACGAAACCATGCGTTTTATTCAATCATCCCCTTTTCGCATCGGCTATTAAAACGCGAACCAATGAACGTCGACTGCGATAAATAAACTGTGAAATTAACGCAGGGCGTACAGAATATATTAAATATACAATTCTGCCGTAACATCGTTTAGTTTAAAAACATTTCCAAGCGTGTTAAATACTCCGTCGTGTTGATGTTGATCCCCAATCTTGTTTTAAAGACCCTGTTAAAACAAATCAGATAACTCATGCTATATATTCTATACCATGCAGTGACTGCGAAAAAGAGTATTTAGGTCAGTCTAAACGCCAGTTTGGTACACGGCTAAACGAACATCAAAAGGGTGCATATTTGCCAGAGGAATACATGCATCTCATTGGCAGGTGACGTCATCCCTTGGGTATTTAAGAATCCACGATTGCATCTTTAGATCACCCCTGATGAAGACACTAAAGTGGAGTGTTGAAACATTGGGTCTTGATTACAATTCGACTGGGCTTTGTAATCATTTATTTAAACCAGAGTAGCGAGCGAAACATGAATATATATTCTGTCATAGTAAACTAATAATAGAAATAGAAATATACCCCAACAACGACATGTGAGCTTACGATGCCTGTGATACATTAAAGTTCAAAATGCTGTTGTTTACATTTGCTATTTTTACTAATCTTGTAAACCAGTGTAAGTCAATCAGAAGCCTGCGTTTCTATACGAACGCCACTACCAAGAAAACCTATAGTTTCGTGTAGGCCCTTATTTTTTCGCGCCGCCCACAACCCAGGAGGGCCTGCTCACAGGCTAAACCAAAGGTACCATATACCTGTAGGATGAAATTTCGACATATTCCATAATCCATGTATTGTACATACCTTTAGATCATTACATTGGTCTGGATTACAGTGCTTTTTACACCACTTGTCAATGTGGTTTCTAAAGTGAAAACGATCACACACAATATCCCGTGTTGAAATAAGTGTTGCCGTGGGTGTCAAACTGCAACGCTTTGGATTCATAGCAAATCTCTTTAAATGGCATGCATCGTCATAACAAATTGTGCCTATATGAAATAGATAAATAGATACGTAAGAAAAATAACCCAAACAGAAATGCCTAAAATAATTTCCAAACCTTTTTACACTATTGCCAACTTACCTAACTCATCCATTTTCCCCTTGTCTATAAGAGCATGCAAATGACCATAAACCTGAGTTTTACTTTCCGAGCCAAACAACTCCCTAATGCCAATAACCACCCCACAAGGTCTTTCAAACACCAAAATCCCTAAGAAATAATGTAAAACATTTACGATATTGGATAATCATTATAGAGCAACCAACAAGCCTCCAAACGTTTGATACATAATTAATAAAAAATCGTATGATCGAGCGATCTAATGAAAAATACGCCAAGAAAATGATTATTCTTAAAACGTCTGTACAGGACTGAATATGCAACACGCATTGGCATTTCACATACAGTAAGTCACGGTATTATGGCATAAATGCATCTACATGCTTACCAGCAGTTCTGAAGTTTTTACATTTGTGCTTCCCTTTTTCTGTTCCACAATCAATAGCTCCTAAAGCATTACCATCACCATTCACACTCTCCAATTCAATGGCACCAAATCCCGAACTACAATATCAATAAAATATTGGTGCATCCATTTATCAAGGGTGGGTTGACCACAAAATTTTTGTAGTTCGCTATAACTACAGCTACTTCAAAAATATGTAGTCAGCTACAACTACTGCTACTTTTCAACAAAGGCAGTTCGCTACTGACTACAGCTACTGCTTAAAAAATGTAGCGAACTATTTCGCTATTTCGCTACGCTATATTTTTTAGTTTTACTGTATTTGGAGCATCTACTAACTCAGGCTAAAATGTAACCTATAACAAATCGACTTACGAGTAGCAACAGTAAACACAAAGCGTGCAAATTGAGTATTGAGTATTGATTTTAAGCAAACCGTGTCTCAATATCATGCTATTCTATCAAGTTGGTAACAATTTTACAAAGTAGCGAATAGCGATTCGCTGTTTGAAAAGTAGCCAACTTGGCTACTTTTAGGCAAAATGTAGTTCGCTATAACTACAGCTATTGTTTTAAAAAAGTAGTCAAAAACTACTGGCTACTTGAAAATTGTAGTTCGCTACAGTAGCGAACTACAACTACTTCGCTACTACCCATCCTTGCCATTTATATATATATATATATATATATATATATATATATATATATATATATATATATATATATATATATATATATATATATATATATATATATATGCATGGGTATTGTTTGTGCACTTTGTGGCAACTAACCTTTTTAAAATTAAGTTATCATCATTAAAGTCATGTTTATTCTCAGATAGTCTTAATTAAAAACGACTTTGGCCAAACTCCTCCACCTTAACTTTCGTCTGTGAATATCCATTCCCCAATTTCAGGATGGCTAAAACTTTCATAGGCAAATTAGCCTCTTTTGCCCAGCTTTCTTTACCATCAGACCACAGCACCTAAATGAAAAAATCCAACATAACTTTTAACTTCAAATATTAAACCATTCCTTATTGTACACATTGCAAACGTCTTGCAGCATTAAATCACAGAATAGAGAATAGATCCTAAGATTTTCCTATGATTTTGGGGTAACCCGTAATTCGTTATCAAATGCTGATACCATGGTCCTAGCCAGTGCGCGTTTGAGAGGCTTTAATTTTTTAATCAGTATTATCATAGATTAACTATAAACACATCTGAAACTTCAGTAAACAAGTTTTGCCATGGTCGCCATCTTCCTAGCAGTGTCGTGATTTTTCGTCATTTGCAAATACGTCGTTGCTTTCAAAAATGCTTTCAACACCTTTTCTACAACTTCAAACATTCAACAAATGATACTCTTGATTATCCATAAATTTGGATCCAAAAAGCCGCAATAAAATGCAAAAGTTCGTGTTGTTCAGGACGCCATTTTGCCAGTAAATGTCATGGCGTGAGTATGACGTGTACATCTACAGAAATATGAGGACACGAAATCCTATTAAGTTACACCATGCATAATAAAATAAATGGATAGGAAACTAGCTGACGTGATCTAATGTTTTCAATGGGCTGATGGCGTGTTTGGATGTTCAAACCTAGTGGCAGACCAAATTCTCAAAAACGGCATGTTTAGCAATGATACAGCTAAACATTTTAGTCAAAGAACAAATTAATATAACCACGCCATTCTACGATGAAAACTCTAAGTATTCCCAGTCAATTTTAGCAACTATTTCAAGCACTAAACAGTGAAAAATACATCGCAAATTTCTTTAAAATTGGCGACGCCAATTTCGTAGGTACTAATGTAAAAAAATACTACAAAACAAAGACGAAAAACGTTTACCTTCAATACTTTGTCGTGGCTTAGGTGTTTTTTTAAAACAATTACTCCACTTTATTGTTCAATATCACCTTTTTAAAGTGGAAAATATAGCAAAAAAAAGAAATGCCGAGAACTTTGGTAATATTCGCAATACGCGTGACGTCACGTTTTTCAACAAGGAATATATGAACTATATATAGAACTGTACATAATTCACTGGCATGATGTCAATGACGTCAGGAAGTTTCCTATCCATTAATTTTACAATCTATGGTTACACATGACGTGTTGTACGAAGGTCGGTACAACTTGGCCCAGATGAAACGCTTGAGAAACTGTGAAACTACGGACATAGACAAGACAGGAAGTATAAAAAAGATTTAACTTATAAATACTAAACTTTAATAAGAGTTCTACCAATCAACAAGTCAACGACTAATTTTACGATCATTGAAAAAATCACTATCCAGTGCCGCTATCCGGCCTTCGTACAACCAGTCCCTGGTACAGTATATAATTTATTTAACTGTGATGTTATCTTTCCAGATAAAGTAAATTTAACTGTGACTTCACGCTTCAACCTGATCTCATCCATCCACAATAATTTGGCGTTCCATTTATTTTCCGGATATTTTTTTAACCTGCAAAAAGCGGGATTGAATTATTAATAAGGAATTCTTACCTGATAAAATTTCCCTTGTCTGGTTTCTTTCTCATTCATAATCTTAACTGGCAGTATTTCCTTTCTTAAATCAATCTGTGGAAGCTCAGCAACTGATCTCTTTTCTGATGTCAATAAACATGAGTCATCGATAAATGGCGAAGACAAATTTTCGTGTTCAACACAATACCTCGATCCCTTTTTAGGTGTATTTTGACAACCTATAAGGAATAATATACATTACATTAAAAGTCGCATCCAATAATGTTAACCATATTTTGCGTAAAGTACCTTTATATTCTTAAAGGACATTGGCAAGAAAAAGTAGGTTAGACTTAGTTCATTTGAAACATCTCTTACAGGGCCGTGCCACCTGGGGGAGTGTATCACCCCCCAAATAAAAGTAAAAAAGGGGGCCCAAATTGCGGAGAGGGGGTCCTTGGAAAGAGGAGCGTGTTAAATATTAAGGAATTTTCTGGAAAATTGGTCTAAAAAGGTCTTCAAAACTAAATTTAAGCCCCCATTATGTAAACCTAGTGTTTGAAAAATTTTTTGGGGCCTCCCCCCTCCCCAGTATTTTCGAAAAAATATGTTTTTGAGGGGGGCCCAATTGGGAGGGGGCCCAAATTTTGATTTCTCCCCCAACCAAAAACCATTTGGCATGACCCTGATCTCTTAAAATTACACCGGGTGATGCAAAAATTGCCCTGTTTAATTTATTTTAACTTAAAAACTAGCAGAGCTAGAATACCTAAACTATATGTGCATTGCATTCAATATTGAATAATGTCTAACTTAAATTTTGATACACGCCTTGTGCATTTCCATGTAATATTTACAGAGATAGGTATGTTTAAACTTGAATAAACATTTTCGTATAAATGGCCCTAATGTACCTCTTTAAAAAGTATAGGAACTCCCACTTAGACTGTGTTCTGTATTGCATTATGTATACATCTCTTTTGCCTACTAATGTCTACTAATGTTCTCCATGAGTACAGAACTTGACATTGGATTATCCACGTTGCTCTCATATATTATATATGTCAGAATTTATGGTATATCATATGTACTGTTTATTGGTAAACATTCTCTCATTCTTGAGGATATTCTATTTATCATGAATACCGACAGTAAAGGTCAAGTACAATGTATACAAACACTAACTGGACAAGTCAAAGGGCCTTCACTCAAAACGTCGAAGTTCTCCTTGTATTTTTCAGGTTGTTGTATCCTTATCAATCCAAAGCTTTCCTGCATATTTACCCTGGAATTTTTTGTTGTTTAATTTCAAATTTCAATCAATTTCAGTGTAAAAAGTATCAAAATTTGAACGAAAAATTCTAAATAGTTTCTAATTCATATAGTTTGCAACAATTGGCAAGTATGCGCACAACTCACATCGCAAATGCAATGTGAATCAATTCAATTTCTCCAAAACAATACTCAACCCTAACCTGCAAACGGGCATGCTCTGGCTATGACATTCATTACTTACCAACAACAATGCTCCCTTCCATTCCACTGAAAAACAGTTCCCCAACATTATTGCATGCACAAACTTCTCTGGCATTCTTCATATTGCCATCAAGAACAATCACCCTTTTACATCCAGCAATATCACAAACATGTCCTATATTAATAAAAATTAAGTAAACAATAATAATTTCAAAATAACAATTTATGTACCACTCCATTGCGAGCTGTTTGTTTCCAATAATTGTTTATGAATGTTTTTTCTGGGGTTGGAAATTGGGGTAGGAAATTTTATTTCCCTGGGGGTAGATAATTGATAGTTTACAAATCAAGATCTGCAAATCCCAGGATAGGGACGGTAACAGGAACAATAGACAATTCCTATTATACATTAATTTTAAAAGTAAGCAAGGAGATGCAAATAAATCATCACAGCTAGATAGAGTGTGCTACAAGGTTGGGTTGCTAAATGTTGTAAAATGGGGAAAATTTAGCCTTGCAAAGTTTGCAAATTTTCTATATTTTTGTATTACATGCGGAAATTCTTACCACATTTGGGCCGAAAATGGTTGCAATTTCCGCACGCAATACAAAAGTTTACAAAATTTGCAAGGCTATATTTTCTGCATTTTATAACATTTCGCAAACAAACTTTGAAAATTTACTCATTTTAATAAGCTCTTTCTAGCTGTGAAACATGTATTATATTGAAACATGTATCACACACATCAAGACAGACTAAAATAATAAATTAGGTTGCTTTAGGGCACTGAATGCAACATAATGGGTTAACTAAATTAATTGGTAATGCAATGCACCCCTTCATCATTTGTGATTTCAATCATTAATATATTCCACAACATACTGTTAGTAATATATAGAATACAAGTCAGCAACAGAACCTGTCCATTTTTTATCAAAATGTTCTTGATAGACTTTTCCAACCATCTCAACCAGTTTGTTCCTATCGAATGGTATCTCTTCAATCGTCATATTATGCTTATTGATCACTTCAAGAGAAGCAAACAAAAGGAATCCCTCTTCAAGCCTTCTTCTGTCCAAGTACTCACGAACATCTAACAATTCTTGTTGCTCTAATGATGAATCTCTAAAAAATAATCAATTATGAGACACCGGTAATTAAAATGCAAGCCTGCTTTCCTAATTAATGGTACTTGACTGTGATTGGCTGATTTCAGTGCAGTTAATCCCAAACAGCAGAACAACTTTTTGTAATCAAAATGCAATTTTCTGTAATCACAGTGCAAAAATCTGTAACAAACTGATCTGGGGAAAAACAATGTGATGATAAAATCAACTAATCAGTTTTTCGGTTGGAAAATATGGCTTTTATCTTTTAATTTACAGAACTCTCCACTTGACGAGTAAATCATATGGCATTAGACAGAGTAAAACACTAAATTAGGGCTTTGCAAAACTCACTTTAAGGTCTTTGTTATACCCAAAATGCACTCAAAACCATATATACTAATAGCCAGAAGGTACCAGTTTATTAATTATTATTAATTTAGTAATAAATTAATAATTCGTAATGGCTTAACACATTTGTCAACGCCGTAGTTGGGAGTTATAAATGCAAACACGCGCTGAGTGCTCAGATCAATGTGCGAAATGTACTTTCCAGTATATTCGCATTGGTTTGACTATAGCAAGAATTAACGCGTACAATGACTTGCTCTTTGGCCATCCGAAATCTGGTAGAAAGCACGAAGGAAGCGCAACTTTCCGATTGTTCTCTAGCGACGTAGAAATGGTATTAAATATCGTTGATCTTAAAGACCACGACAGAAAACAGCCATAATATAGATGAAGACGGCTCAGACCCTGCAGGAAACGCGGACCTAGAGCCAAGTCCAAAGCCTGTTCGAATGGAAAGACAAGAACAGGAGATTGTTTTTCTCTCCGTGCGCGCCAAAATTACATGGCCGCACGCGTCAACTAGCGCTCTCATTAAATCGAAGGAAATATCACCACAACAAAGGACGCGTCGCATTAAAACGAATGGCGAGCAATTCATCGGAAATCCCTGAATGTTGTTGCGTGTGCCTATCAGGAGAACCTCGAGGAGAACATCAACGAAATTATCGGCATCAGAAGGCGGTCGCCGGGTATATAATATTCTGATGTTGTGATTTGGGGGCAACCGATGTGATATTTTCAAGACTCGAGGCATTAGACACGACTCTTTCGGAACAAAGCCAGTCAATTCTGCTTAAATCTATTAAAATGCGAGATTGGACTATGCTTCTTCTGAAAGTCAGAATAAAAATTTCAGACGTAGGATGGCAGACACTACTTAGTTACAGTACATAACTTGGACGCACTGGGGTATGTTGATATTCTTTTTCTGTGCTGGTGTTGTGTATTCAGGTGAATATATGTTTGTGATGTTACTCTGAGTGTATATCCACACCGGGCGAGCTTGAAAAATATGCCCGGCCACGGTGGGAATCGAACCTATGACCTTTGGAATACTAGCCCAATGCTCTGCCAACTTTGATATCCTCTTTCATATTTAATACAAATACATAGTCGTCTGGTCAAGTACATTTCCAAAATAGACAAAAATGTGTACAAAACACTCTCATGCATGGCCAATGATTTACGGGTAATATTAAGCGCAAGTATGAATATAAGTGTAACTGCATTATAATTGTTTTACTGCATGGTAATATTTTATCCAAGGTGTGATAGATTTGCATACTGACGCATATATTTAAACGTGTTTATTAGACAGTTTATACACTATTGTTATTTGTTTGACTCATTCCGTGCTTTGATTACTGACCATCGGAGCCCAAAGGTTATGAATGTAACAATTTACTTTATTACATGTGATAATTCTTACAATCGTACCTTTACAAGCTGTTTACCCTGCCTGTGAGCATCACAACAGAAGTTGCATGTTCAACCATACAAACCATACCACAAGACTCTACACTACACCCTTTCAATAATTACGTCACAAGTTGCTCCTTGGCCCAGGAGCCTCGTTTTCATGAATCGTGAGCGAATTGTGTTTCTTCTTGATTCATGAAGCGAGGCTCCCAGACAAAGGAAATACTTGTGACGTAATTATCGAAAAGGTGTATTGAATTGTATAATGTCAATGTTATATAAAACATTAATCGTTTGTAACACCACATACACCCTAGGAGGAATCGCATTCTAGAATGGAGTTCACTACATGGAGATACAAATTTCATGGCAGGTGGTATGATTATGATGGCATTCCTCTTGTGGACTAATCATTAATGTTTCTGCACCTTCACGGGCACGGGTAGGATTTACAATTGCCTCTACTGTTTATTTCAATGAGTATGTAGAACCAATCATGTAGAATCACTAGATGCACTATTCTACCTTATTACTTCTTATCACCATGCAGTGATAATGCATACTAATTGAAGAGGTATACGCTCACTTTTATTTCACAATAAATCCTATAAAATAATGCTAGTATTCAAGACATAAAAACTACATTGCTGTTGTACAGTATAAAGATTATGAGAATTCTTTTAGTGGATGCTCTTGTGTCAGAAAGATGCAGTCATCTTTTGCTGACAGATTAAGAAGATGTAGTCATCTTTGCTTAATCAGTTAAAGCTGAAAGTTGTATCATAATTATTACACAGCAACTTATATATCTAAATGAAAAGTACAATAAATTCTATAATTTTATCATAAGCTACCATTCAAGGCATAAAAACTACATTGCTGTTGTACAGTATAAAGATTATGAGAATTCTTTTAGTGGATGCTCTTGTGTCAGAAAGATGCAGTCATCTTTTGCTGACAGATTAAGAAGATGTAGTCATCTTTGCTTAATCAGTTAAAGCTGAAAGTTGTATCATAATTATTACACAGCAACTTATATCTAAATGAAAAGTACAACAAATTCTATAATTTTATCATAAGCTACTATTCAAGGCATAAAAACTACATTGCTGTTGTACAGTATAAAGATTATGGGAATTATTTTAGTGGACGCTCTTGAGTCAGAAAGATGCAGTCATCTTTTGCTGACAGATTAAGAAGATGTAGTCATTTTTCCTAATCAGTTAAAGCTGAAAGTTGTATAATAATTATTACACAGCACCTTATATCTTATTGAAAACAAATATTTATGTTCAAAGTGATATTTTTAGAAACAGTGTTGGTACTCTACACTTATTTATTAAATACTTGTTCACTATTTGCCATCAAATTCTCTTTTCTTTATAAAATATTCATTATATAAGTCTCATCCTGAACAAGAAACCCAATTTGCAAATAGAATCTGACTGATACAATACAGTGTATTCAATCCTAATGGCCGTTTTCTCTATCAAAGACCAATTATATATTCTAATAGGATATTTAATTAATGCAGGAGTGTTTTATCAGGTTGATCAATCAATCATAAATCAATGCACTGCGAGTGTATTGAGAAAAATACCAATTGGGATAAAGATGCTTGTAGATGGATAATCGAACGGAAAGTTATCAACATTTTTTTAAACCTAACCAAAAGCTGTTTCGAAATATGCAACTATAGGCCCTCCGGCGGGAATTGAACCTGCGGCTCTGCAATTCCATTGGGATCGGAACTTCGAAACCTATATATATATATATAAAGTTAGATATCGCTCTATGGCCTTTGGGTCATATTGAGCGCTATACAGGATGAGCCATGCCGCTTACGCATTGCGCACGCTCACTGCTAGCAGTTTGAGCGCTCTGGCATGGTTTTGATGTCCCACAATCGTGAGGCATCA